GGCCACGCCTTCTTCTGGGCCCTCTCCACTCTGCCCTCGACTCTGCCTCCCTACCCCCCTGGCTTCGTCTTCGTTTCAGCCTTCGCGTTCGATTCCGCTACTGTCACATCGCCTTTCCCTGCCCCCAGTTCGCCACTGCCTTCATCACCGCCTTCACTCCGTCACCGCCTTCATAACCACATTCACCTCCACATTCATTCCCCACCCTCCCTACGCAGCCCTCGCCTCCGCATGCCTGCTCCAAGCCTTCGCATTCACTTCACCTCTATCACCCACGCCGTCTCCACCTTCGAGACCGTCTTTGCTTCTAACACTGCCTGTTGATCCTCGACTGGCTTTATCTCGGCTACTGCCTTCGCATTCGCCTCCCACACCTTCGCCGCCTTAGTCTCCGCGACCGCCTTCGACTCAGCCAACGCCTTCGCCCACACCTCCGGCTACGCTTCGTCTGCACCCCCGCCTTCGTCCCCGCTTCCATTTTTATCCACGCCTCCGCCTTCGTCCCCGCCTCCGCCTTCGTCCCCGCCTCTGCCTTCGTGCCCGCCTCTGTCTTCGTGCCTGCCTCTGCCTTCCTCTCCGCCTCTGCCTTCGTCCCCGCCTCTGCCTTAGTCTCCGCCTCTGCCTTCATATCCGCCTCTGCCTTCGTCCCCGCCTCTGCCTTCGTCCCCGCCTCCACCTTCGTCCTCACCTCCACCTTCGTCCCCACCTCCACCTTCGTCCCCACCTCCACCTTCGTCCCCACCTCCACCTTCGTCCCCACCTCCACCTTCGTCCCCGCCTCCGCCTTCATCCCCACTTCCGTTTTCCTCCCCGCTTTCGCCCTCGTCTCCGAATCCCCGTAACTCTAATAACGTTGCAGCCTTTCCCGTCGGCTCAACCTCCATGTCCGCCTTCACCTGCATCCTCGCTCTCATTGCCGCCCCCCACTCTCCTTCCAACATTCGATATCGCGTCCTTCTTCGCATCTACGTCTATTACCATCTCAATCTTCCCTCTGTGTTTTTGCACCGACGAGTATACTGCTCCATCTGCATCTCTGCGTCTACCTTCATCACCTCCCGCTTTCCTCCTCCACTCTAGCCGCCGCTCTCGTCCAGCAGCCAGGAAGGGGGCGGGGGGGGGCAGTGTTGGCAGATGGAAGAGACGGCTGTTGCTGGGCCGGCGGCGGTGGTGCAAAACGCCAAGAGGCTTTGCCTGCTTCCGAGCAGGTCACGTGATGCCTTGGGATGCACGCCCCCAGATCTCCCTCTTGCACTCACGCTAATACGTCTCGACAGAGGAGATTATCCGCCTACATCTCTCTCAACCATGTGCCTTTGCGCGTGCAGTGGCTAGTTCGAATTGGCAGATCAATAGAGGAGCCATGTACCAGATTTAACTGCAGCGAATTGTCGACATCAACTATAGAAAAGGCCTTTGATTTACTAACCTCAATTCTGGCGATGTTTTTTAATTGGTTGTTTCATTCCAAGGCAGAAAGTAAAGTTTTTTCATGCAAAGCCTTAATTTTTTTTAAATAAGAATTTCTAAAATGTCAGTTATAAACGGTTTTAAGCCCTTTCCTTTTGTCGTCAAGAATAAATGACCACATACTGCTATTAGTCATGGATTTGATTGTTTCGGGAATTGCAGATTAGTGTTCTAAGATCAAAATAAGACGGACATTCTGTAACTAGCTTCTTCCCACATTTAAAACGTGTTTTAAATGAACTTTACGTGAGTTTTTGGAATGTCTAATTATGTTTGAGTTCAATCAACTTTGAAAATAACAATTCCGAGAGATCAGGCGTTAGTGATTATGGGAAATGAGATTATAGAGAAAGGCGCCTACATTCAGTCTTACAATGTTGGAAACTATCTAGAAAAATATATCAGCCCAATTAAAGTTGGCAAGTCCAGGACCTAGCATGTCCTTTGGCTCTACTCCCCGATACGGGCCTTGACCGACTAGTGTGGCTCATGCTCTGGGCATTGGGATAAGGGGTTCGTCTGGTTAGCACAAAGACATCCCTCCACGGTATATACTGATCTTCATACCCTTAGGGTGGGATTTCTAATTGTCACCCTGCAATATACACTGGGGCATTTGTAAGGAAAGGGCACGGTTTTAATTTTGCCTCCGAAATACCGAAATTTTGCCTTTGAAATCAAACCCGGGATTGCGCCGTAGAAAGCAAGTATGCTAACCAACGAGCCACTGAGGGCGTAAATCCAAGCCCACTCTTCGTAAATATGAAAATTCTGACAACCTACAGAAGGTCTATAATGAAATTTTAAACATTAAAAATGGAACATTCGGCATTTACATACTATTATTATAATAAGAAAAATAATATTGTTCAAATTTTCGTAAATATCCTAGTATTTTAGTAGTCTTTCTTTCACAATAACGACACTTCATCGGACAATGCTATGTGCTCCGATGATGTGTTGTTATTCGTCGAATAATGCATATTTTATATGCGCCATTCACTTGCAGTGTAGCCTATTTAAAGAGTTAAAACATTAAGGTGATAAGAGTAGATAACGCTCATAATCATACACTGGCTCTGACGGAGTGAATTTGAATTCAAACGAAAAAACCAAAAAGCTTCATTTTGCACGAGCTACAGCAAGATACGTCACCGATCACTTGCGAGCAACGCATTGCCAACCTATTCCCTTAACGTAATACGACTTTTCATATAAAACGCACTTTATCTGATTTCTTCGTGTTTTCTGCTACAGACATGCCTATTTTTTTCGAGCACTACCCAAAACTTGAATTGTTATATTTACAAAAATACATGTGTAACTGCATTCTGGTTTCATCATTTCAACAACAACGAATCGCTAGATGGAAAATTAGTTAGTACTGCACATTTGTTTCTAGAACCTCCATCCGCTGAGTGGAACTTCTAATTCAATATCAATCATTAGAAATTACTAGAAATGTGCATTGCAGAACGGACGTTCTCTAGTGCCTTGATACTTTATATTAAAAAGGATAGTACAAAATGTTTAGAAAGATAATATATCACTAAAAATCGTGAAAAGTAGTCATATAAAATTATATACGATATTTACTTTGTTAAAGTAGATATTACAATATATTTCTTCATTGTGTTATTGCATTTTAGTCCTCTAATTGGTCAACCATTATAGATCACGAGATTTAAACGAACCAGATACTATAGGCCGTCTCATAAGATATTTTTTTATTTTTGGAGCAGAGGGGAATCCAATTTCTGTCACCGCAACGTCGTCAAATGGCAGTTGTCTGGTTCTTTCACAACTTACAGAGCTTTCCTAAATACGTTATCTTTGTCAACTTTGTTCTTTATCTCAACTGTGCCTTACTAATTGTTCCCAACAACCCTTCTCTTAGTTCCTTCTCCAGTGTCCAATTAACTTTTCTGATGGACTTACGAGTCCAGCCAGTGACGATTAATGAAAACTTTCTTTTTTGAAAATGTAGTAAACGAAGTTTAAAAGCATGCCTTCATGATCCCTTTATAAACATCTGATTTTCAAATTATTCATGGTAAAAAAACAATCGATTACAGTTTTTCAATTACCGAAAGAATAGTAGGAATTCCCAATTCCCACAAACAATTTAAATTTTCCATAGAAGGGATTAAAATCCAGTAGAAAGAGAATATAACATTTCCTTCACAGTATGTCGATAACTCAGAGAGATACTAAATAAAAAATTATCAAAATTTTAATGGAAGAGAAAATTTAAGTATTTAAAATTAATTTCATGAAGTGACAGTATGAATGTGTGAGGGTGTCTATTTCACAAAAATTTTGAAGCGCTGAAGAGACTGATTAATCGTGACAGTTTACTTTGAGCATGGTTAACTAGTATAGTATACGACCTAACATGATTCGAAAATCAGATCTCCTGCCCTGAGACGTATTGACTACCGCACAGGAAGATCGTTGCATCGGAGACAGTCAGGCCAGGTCAATGAATTTATAACAGCAGCGTTTATAAAGCATTTATCACCTGCCTAGATTGCCCAAAATTCAAGCTTCTTCTTAATTTGATGTTTTCATCCTTTTAAACTATATTTGCTCTATGGAATTAAGGGAAACCCTGCTCAGATGGGCAAAAAGTTTTTAATCCCCGACCGTTCCTCTAACGAGCGCTCGTCCGGCCGGTTGAAGCTGTAACATTGCACCAAGTGTGAATCGTAAGGCAGTCTTAACTTCAGACGTTTTAAAACCCTTTTACTGTACCATAATGTGACATATTTATCAACATATTTATCAAGTCAATATTTACCATACTTACTCCAATTTTCTGCAACCTAATGCAAAGAGAATGCATGTCCTGGTACAGCAACCAAATGATATGTGTGCATTTGATGGGAAAGAAATTCAATTGCAAAATTGGCCTCATATTTTGATTCACTTTTATCATAAATTAATTGAAGTGTTATTGAATAATTAATTATAATAAGAAGAATAATATTTATGATGTACTCATCATGCTGAAGGAATGTTGAGTGTTTAATAAAATCAATAACTAATGTTGTATTTTTTTCATATAACATATTTTTAGGCACCGTTCTTAAATTAAGGCACAAAGTCCTAGAAAATTTGAACTGAATAAAATCTTACATTTCATTGAATTTGAATCATAAAATATTACATATATTTATATTTTCCTATTTAAATATATTTGAAAATTCTAGAGCTCTTGAATGACTGGGAGACTTAAACGCCTAGTTGATTGCAAGATTTGCAGAATACTGCCAATAACAAATACAAACTCACCATCTAATTAAATCATTTCTTTAATTTTATGCCAATTTAAGTAGTGTTTCATTAAGGATGCACTGTGAAAAGATTTTGATATATATTTTACAGTTTGCTAATACCCAAGCCCTTCAATGGAAGCTTAATAACTGTTTCATGAATTACTTCTACTGTCAAAAAATGTGTGTTCCTTTAGTTATTCATTATGAAGAATATTTATGATGAAGGAATCAAAAAAAACGTTAGCACAATAATTGTATTGCATAGTAAAAGTTTAATCAATAATTGAAGTTATTATACAAATATTTTCTCTTTCATATAAGCGATTTTTCATTTTATGGCATTTTAACACATTTATTCATAAATACGCTCATTGTTCAGGAATGTAGCTTAAGTTCACTTAGGCGTTGAGTTCTAATATTTCTTTAATTTTTCTTTGTCAGTGTATATCCAGTGGCTGATATTTTATTTTGTATACAATCTTAGATTGTATAAAATAATTATTCTGTTTATAAAATAATGATAATCTGTCACTTTTCCCCCATATGAACTCATTACGTGTGTCTTTTAAGATGGAAAACATATTAAATGAGAAATATGTTTATGGACAATAGGACCAATAACGTTAAGAAACCAGCGCACGTTTTCTGAAGTGTGATTCAAATAAGCCTTGTATTTAAAAAGACATAATGAATGTCAGTCACATCAGTTTGACAACTGTCCAAAACACTGTTGAGTCAGCATAATTCGCTTGGGGTCGTACTAGCTACTTCGTAACATGTACTTGCCGAGCTCTGTAGATCAGTTCCAGAGAACTACCGTCCGCGGTGCACTGAAATGTTCGAAAATCATGTCGGGCGCCTTAGCTACTGTACTGCATTCGAAACGAGGTTTACTAAAGGGGAACGATCAGGATCGACTTTAGTGTTGTCCCAGTGACCTTCTGAGTGTTTCCCGTTTTTCAGTCTTAGTTCCTTTGTATTGAAATCAGCTGCGCCATATGTCTTATCGCAGGTGTAGGACAATAGTCCCAGCCACTTCTCAAAAGTATCGAAAAGATCGACGTATTATTGGAAACAAGGAAATAAAGTTGTCTAATTTGTGAAACGGTAATTAAATTACCTCACGCGGTAGGAATAGTCCGAAACCACTGAACCCCTCTTTTAAAACCGAACAAAGAAAAAGGCGGAATTCCAATATTTGACGCGCTCCATATTACGAGCGAACGCCCGACTATTTTATTACAATGTACATCACACTGACTTCAATTTACTTTGAGAGCAATTACGCACCCTGGACACCCAATTAAAGAGATGAAGCAGCACTTTCAAAACAGTAATAAGGTCACACATTGCCTTTTCGAAATTAGCAGAAACATACTTGTGAATTTTATTATTTCGTTATTGGCAATTGAAGAGGAGTATTTGTATTGAAAATGGAATGGAATGTAGTTAATCCATGTTTACAATCCTGTAAATATTTTAAGAGCATTTCATCTAAATGAAGTGTATAAAAATAAATATTTTTTGGAAAATATAAGAAAATACCAGGATTATGTGGGAAAATGTCACGTTTTTGTGACAATGGTTAATCGGCATAACGTGACGTCAACAAATTTAAATTTATCGTAATGTATTCCGTTGGATTTGCATTAATGTATAGAAAAAGTAAGCGCGAGTAAATTAAATTCGCTCATAACTAGTGTATTTAGCAGCCAATCGAAATCAAGAAAGAGTGGTTCAGTGGTAGTTCTAGAAAGGAAACGTGAGCTTTTGCGTCATTTGAGCGTGTGTATGATTTACCGCCATCGATATCGATATTGAAAAATTCAATAATAATTCTGCTGAGTTTCTGTGCCACTTAGTAAGCATTCTTAATTGAGGAATAATGGGTAACGTGTGTGCCGTTTGGTCCCGTTTCTCAGTCAAGCAAATGTCACAATGTCCCTTTTTAAGGTTTTCAATATATGGTCACCTTAGTCTGTAAATGGGTATACGTGTGAATGGGGCTGCGTGTGAGGCAATGGATGAATGGGTGGGTTGTTGAGTGAATGCCTGGTGCCTTGTGGGTGCCTGGTGAATTCCTGGGTGACTGCGTGGGCGGGTATATTGGTGAGTGGATGACTGCGGGTAGACTGGTGGTTGAGCGGGTAGGCTGGTGGTTGATGATTGGTGGATGGTGAGTGGATGTTTGGATGGACGTGTGAGTGTGTATGCAGGTAGGCGCGCGGGGGTGCTTGCGGGTCGGCGTGCGGGCAGGTGGATTTGCGTGTGTGTGGGAAGAGAGTTGGTGGGTGGACGGGCAAGAATGGGTTGAGCGGACGGACAGATGGTGGGGTGGATGTGTTGGGTAGGTTGGACACGCAGTCGTGCGAGTGTGCGAGCGAGTGCGCGTGGGGGCGGACGGGTTGGACAATGGCCGGGCGTGTGGGTGGGAGGGAGGCACGGATGGGGGGAGGGAGGATGGGTGAGTGAGCAGGTGGGTGGATGGGTAAATGGGGGTTCGGTGGGCGGGCAGATGGGAAAGCGGGTGGGTGAGTGAGTGGGTTGAAGGATGGGTAGGTAGACGTGCGAGCGTGCATACATGCATTCGTGCGAGCAGAAGGGAGAAAGGCCAGGCAGATGGGCACATTTGTGGGTGGGTGGGCAGGTGGAGGTAGTTGGAGGTGAGTGCGTGTGTGTGTGTGTGGGTGTGAGGCCTAGAGGAATCCCGCCGTGGCGAAGGCCTGGCGCACGCGCTGTTGCTGGTCGGGCGTGAGAGGCAGCAGCGGTCGGCGGCACGGCCCTCCGTACAGCCCCACCAGGTCCATGGCGGCCTTCATGGCCGGCACGCCCAGCTCCCGCGTCACCTGCGCACCAACACACCAGTGCAAGCGCACCAACACACCAGTGCAAGCTGCGGCCATCTGTGCATCCGTTTGATTTTTAATGGCTCATCAGCTTCTCTGATTATTTCAATGAGTTAAAATATATACTCGTACATAGAGTGGTTAACCCAACGGTTTCAGCGCTTCTTGTGGATGCTTCCCAAATTAGGGGCCGTTTTTTTTATGTGCCAGATGGTGGCGTATATAACTGTTGTACTGAATCGACATGTTGGTTGCATCACATCTTATTTCTCTATTATTGGCTTTTCGTATTGAAATTTTATTAGTGTTTAGAATAATATTATTTGCAATGCCTTCAGTGTGTTCAGCATATAACTGTAAAAGTAAAAATCATCAAACCACAACTATATCACTTTTAGAATTTTCTGCTTATTTGTGATCTGTTTGTTTGCTTCTCGTTGCAATAACATTCACTTTCAGGCGTTATGCTAACTACAAAAATTTTTCAACAGCTTTCGTTGTTATGACAATAACCCATTCATGTGTTTTCAAATTTTCTCAATTCGCTCTCCTTACATTTTGGAATTTCGGTTTTAAATGATTGGGTTTGGGTTGTGAAACACAGAGCAAGAGAATTTATATTATGCGCGACCCGCACCCACCCGGCCTTAATCAGCATCTAACGGAATACTATACGAAAAAATGTACCTTCAGTTTGAAATTGGTGTACTTCTCTGCGAGGTTCATCGTCGTATATAAGGTGTTAAGAGTTTCCTACTAAATATGTCTTAATAGTTAATTATATATTAATTATTATTAATAAGTAAGACATCAATAATGTTAAAATATTTGCCGTTATTATGTGCTTTCTATGTTTACTGTTTCAAAATACCAAGTCTTTTTCACACTCTGACGTGACGACACAGTGGATTGTATTTTTTGCACGATGACGTGATGATTTTCAGATGTTTTAACATAAGGGTAACTTTCGGCTCTCCTAGCACAATGTATCAATGAACATTTTAATACGATCGTCGCAAAAAGTCTTTTTCGCCTACAGATTTCGAACGACGATGGCATTCCTTTAAAATCAGTTTCAGACTCAGCAGAAATAATGAATTGTTTTTTTAAAATAATTTCACGACTGAGTAAAATAATTATTTTAATTGGATTATAAATGTGGAAATGCCTATTAAAGTACTGTTCAAAACAAAACTTAAATGTTTATCCTGACTGTACTTAATTCAAATAACGAAAATAGGCTACACGAATATTGCTCAGTAGAAGTAAAGTAGATACGCCTGTATAAAAGCTAGTTAGGGATTAGAAAATGAAACACGGCTGTACAGAAATCATGACCCAAGTTAATTCACATCCCTCATTTCTAAAGTGATATGTTATGTTACAGTTTCTTGTAAAATCGCAAGTAAGTTTGAAAGTGAAGAATCGTTATTGCCCAGTTCCTCTCTCTCTCTCTCTCTCTCTCTCTCTCTCTCTCTTGTGTGCTGGCTAAACTGACGTAGAATATACCTACAATTTACGAGAAAATGCTCTCCAGAAAGGTCAGTTTCACAATTGTCGTAGACATGAGACGGATCTCCCCGCAGGAAGTAATCACGCGAAAAGCAACACTAACCATTGAAGACGTGTTAATGTTACTTCTCTCTCTTAGACGAGATACCAGAAGGAAAGTTGTTTTAAGGCTCCGGAAATTTTGTCCTCTCTCTTAGCAGTTAAAAATAAATAAAATTAGACACGAGTGTTTCGGTAAAATTTCGTAACAAATTTATGATCCTGCGTTATAGAAACTATACGGCTCAGCAAATAAGTTACTGGATTGTTTTCAAAAAACTGTCGATGTAAATTTTAAACTAGACAAGAAGTTGTTAACTTGTGATACACGTAATGAGATTATTATTACTTATGCATAAATAATACAAATACTTTTATTATTTGAGGAGCTTGAAGCAGAATGAAGATAAACCACATCAGCCACAATAAACCTTGTCATTCCTAATATATTAATTTTAGAGAAAGTGTGGAATATCTATTAATTTTATATTGTATTATTCATATTTATGAAAAGCTTAGAGCAGCAAGAAGATAAAACACACTTCGACCAAACCGAGAATTTAACAATTACGAATAACGGAAGGCTTCCTATTGCTGACATAACTTACTTTTAATCAGCCTCAAGCTCAGTCGCAAATTGGCCTTTCTAAAGACCACGCAAAAGTGCAGTTATACCCACCAACGCCCAGTCATATATTTTCTTGGAGGTATGCACGTGAAACATTATTAAGGAGCGGCTCAACATTTTTGGAGGAATGTTAGCCTTGGGGGTATGGAAGATTCAATGATGATTATGAGGGGAGAGGACACACACACATACAGACAAACACAAGTACACACATGGCCAAGGAGGGACCGCAATCTTCTGGTCAGGGACCGCTACGGCACTACTGCCTTAACGATCTCGGCCATCTGACCGGCCCTAAACTGCTGCGATCTATTATTATAATTATTATTATTATTATTATTATTATTATTATTATTATTATTATTATTATTATTATTATTATACTATAGGCCATTACTGACCACGCCACACGATTTTACCTGGATCAGCTTTTCAGCTGTATCCCTCAGTACGACAAGATTGTTACGCCTTGAAGTGTGAATTATGAGATGATATGATGATGATGATGATGATGATGATGGGTGAAGGGACAATCACAAATACGACCACGTCTACGCAAGACTTGAACCTGCAGCCTTCCCGGCGGAGACGAACTTATTGCTATTGCTATTATTATTATTATTATTATTATTATTATTATTTTCTATTCTATATTGTTGGTATGAGCGGCAATGGAAGCGGGCTTACGCGTACCAGTGCGTTGGGCGCCAGCAGGGCCCGGTGCAGCTCGAGGGCGTCAGCGTAGCGGCCCTCGGAGGCCAGCCGGTGCAGGCGACACACCTCCTCACCCAGGATGTTGGCCAGCCCGTTCACGCCGCCCACGCACCCTGCGCACCACACCACACCACACGCGCTTCTAACGAAGGCGCACACACAGCACTATTGTTCTCGCTACAGGTCACATTGCGTCTAGGAATGAGAGCACATGAGCCTTGTACAGGTGAGATCAGACCGTCCCGATCTGGGTGACCGGGGTGGCTAAGAGCACGTATCGACTCAGCGCTGCGGACCGAAGGGTCTCGGATCGCACGTTCGATTATTTGCACCCATGCCAGTTTTCTATTATCGTGTAAAAACTAGGGATTTTATCGCTACATGAATGTGAAGTTAATTTATTCTTTAAAACATCTAAAAAAAGAGTCTCGTCACAATGGATACAAAATTGTTATTTTTTATATTACGTGTGTGAAATGAGTGTTTTCTGTACGATCAAGATTGAGGGTGTTTTTATTCTAAGATCGATGAGTCGAAGCAAAAACAAACCTCGGTCTTTGTCGCCCAAAATGTAATCATTTCGCTCATATTAACAAAAATATAAACAATATTTGCTACGATCGTATAAAAATGGTGAATTTAGTTTGCCTTGTCTCAGTTAATGTAATGAGATAATAGTCACTGAATTCAAAATATTACCAGTACTGACGCTTTACAAGAGTTGCTCGAGGTTTCGCAATGTAATTAATTACTATTCAAGAAATGCAAAGAGTCTCTTATGTTTGTGTTGTCGCTTTCTGCTGACCCCAGATCAGAGACCATTAGAGTCCCCAGAATAGTGTCTAGTGTGTGGTCGAATATGCGTCCCATCAGGACGTAAAGGGTAACTGCTGAAAAAAACCCTACAAAGAATATAAGACCGTGCGGTAATACCTTCTTGGTATGAAGGATCAAGAGTATCATCGCTCTAATACGAGAAGATTTAAAAAATTGTACTGAATAGAAATGTTGTTCCATTAAAAAATTGTTCATGTTGTTAAGGTGCTTGTTGGTTAATTCCACATTCATACAATTCGAATTATGTGCTATTCGACAGTAAATAAACAAACAAATTAACATTTATGTCACGTAATTTACAAACAAACATGCAGGTTCTAGATAAATGGCGTTTTCAAAGATATTGAACCCTTGGAAAATGATAGGGAGGCGAAATTGACATTATGTTTTCAGTGTGCGGATATGATTTTTCAAATTATAATATATGATACTTTCCAAAATATTATTGCCTATTTCTGTTAAAGAAATCCATGGAAGATAGGGATGATATACATTTAAAGTAATATAATAATAGCGTTGAAAGTATTCTTATGTTTACAGCAAGGATGGACACGTCTCCAGTAAATAAAAATTCGTGGGAGAAGAAATTGATATTCTATAACTGTTAGATTGATCCAAAACTACCCCCATCAGCCTGAATTTTCATATCTCAGAAAGATTACCAATATGTACATCCCAATACTTTGGATCTTATCGCAGCCTCCATCTTCTCCATTGCCTCATATTCTCATCTCCGAAGAGTGTATAGTATTAATGAATAAAGAATAATTTTACTTTATTACTCTACCCCTCGTACCCTGTTGACTTCAATAAATCTACAAAATCAAATGGTCTTTGCTGAAACTAAACTTCAGCGAAAGTACACACTCACTTTGATGTCCATCTGAAAATTAAAGTGATAGAAGGAGACATAATTTCCTGAATTTTCTAGTGTTGTATATGTAAGGAAAATACAAATAACCAATCTAATAGCCGGGATTTGATACTCACACTCCCTAATTAAATTGTTTCCTTTAATTTTTCTTCGAGAAGAGAAAAGTATATATATATATATATATATATATATATATATATATATATATATATATATATATATGTGTGTGTGTGTGTGTGTGTGTGTGTGTGTGTGTGTGTGTGTATGTGTGTGTGTGTGTGTTCATAAAATAAAAAGCATAAACGTGAGGAAAAATCTACACATACACAATTAAATGACAGTAATTTTGAAATACGAATTTCAATTCAGAGTGTTTCTGAAAGAGCGGGCCTTCCA